CCCCAAAACCCCAAAACCCCAAAACCCCAAAACCCCAAAACCCCAATATAATAAATTATAAAAATATATGGAAGACAAAATCTTAGTCAATGCTACATCTGATAAGCAGTTAGATGTTTTACAAAATAGTTCAGAAGAACAAAATTCAGAGGGAAACTTCAAATTTAATCCTCTATTCGCAATAGATGGGTTCATGCTGACGTTCTTGCCATACTTAGGGTAATTAATCAAACTCAATATAGGTCCTACAATAAGTGGGAGCAGTTTTGATTTAGAATGTGAAAGACTTCACAGGATTACTTCTCTTCAAAGAAAACGGAGATAGAATATCTGTATCAGCAAACATTCTCGAGTTATGAAGAAGCAGTAAATGATTTAGCTCCTTATAAAATTGGGGCTAGACTTATCAATAGTAATGAAATAAAGCTTGTCTTTTTTGAAAGAATTGAAAATGTAACAAATGAAGTTGCTGAAAATTGCACAGATGCCCTTCAAAAGATTAAACTCTATCAAGTTAAGGTTCATTGGAATATGGATAAGCATAAAAGAGAATTGGAGCAAGATCTAATGGTTATTCATAAAGCCCTCTTAAAGCTGTTGCCAAGCAAAGGGTTTGTATTCAGAGTTTATAAGCTGCAAGACCCTCAAAGATTGGATTCGATTTACTTTAATAAGAAATGCTCAGAATTGTATATCTCTAGTAGCACTGTGGATTTAAGTATGAAGTTCTTGATTGAATATTTTTAATATATGGGTAATCTTCTGAGGATCAAAATTTTCTTGAATTTCATTCTCAAAATTTCGCTTCTAAGTCATTTTTTAATTTTTATTTGAATTTAATTATCACCAAAATCCCATTTTTAAAACTTTAAAGACTCAGAGGAATAATAAAAAAAAATTATCATATTCTGGCAGATAAAATAAGAGATTTAATAAAACTATTTTTAACCCCAATGATAGGCACTTTAATGATCCACCTTCTTTAGAAATAACAATGAGTGAGGTATATTTTTAACAACTGCATTCGATAGAGAAATTTTAAGAATTTAACCTACATTTTTAGAACCATTTTAATGATCAGAAGTTCCGAGACATTGCTAATTATGGGTAAGCTTTTAATTTAATATTATTGTTTCATCAGTTCCTTATCTCAAATTTTCCAACTTCTATTCGAAACACTCCAGAAAATTATTTAAAAATTAGTGATTCTTCAATCTGTAACTTTATCGAGGGGCTAGGTAAACTTGTGATTTGTTAGTTTAAAGTATGTTCATCTAGGAAAATCTAAGCTCCAAACACATTGTTTGAAGTAATTGTTTTGTACTGAAAATTATACTGCTATTAAAGCTGCTATCTAATCATTCTCTGTTTAACTTTCCTTTCATTATTCTAGCACTCTCTTACTTATTTTTAGTAGTTTTCAAGATAATTATAGTTCAGAAACATTTTGAGGAAAAACTTAAACTAACCATTCTTATTTTTAATGTATCCCTTGATAAAATTAAGATATAGGAATTATTGAATAGCTCCCAATTCATTAAAGAATCCATGGGATGAAAAGTTTCATTACATACTTTTGTTATTTCTTCAATACTTATTGTAAATGAGAGTTTTAGAGTGAGTACAATTGTGTTCATAAATTGCACATTGATCGACCCTTCTCACAACTCTGATATTCCAGTCAGTGTTTGGGAAAATGAATACACCATCGAAAATGAGGACAAGAAGTGCTTAGTCAAAATAAAGAATTGAGTTATTAAAGAAACAGAAAGCAATAAAACTTAAAATTTTCGTCAAAAAAACGTTAATGGACTTTCTAATTACTTCATTCACTAATCTAGAGACCTCTAAAACTCCATCCCTCTGCTCTCAACCCTTCAACCCACAAAACCCGCCCCTAAAATCCTGAATAAAGCTCAACCCCAGTAATCCTTCACAAAATAAATTAATCCTTCCTTCTCAGTCTTTTTAACTCTCTGCCACTATCTTGAGTGGGAAGAGTCCTTCCAAAATACTGTGAATATCATAGCCTGGGTTTCTGGATGAGACTGTAGAAATTTGGGTGATACGGCTATAAAATCCTTTCAATAATAATTTAATTAAATGGGGTTTTGGGGTTTTGGGGTTTTGGGGTTTTGGGG